ATAGGGGTTGGTAGGGGGTGGGGCGTGAGGGGGAGAAGTCCCGCACAATTCGGTCACCTCAGTGCAACCCTCGGTACTGGCCAAGTGCATTCACACGCCCCACCGAGTCGCCGAGTTGCCAAGTGTTTGGAGGGTGGTTGCTTGAATGCAAATTTGGAGACTGGCCAGAAGCTTCGAAGTCGTGACTGTATGATGTCAAAGTGGCCCATGGACCGCAGAGCCAGACATGAATCTAAATAGATGCCGCAGTCTCACGACTTCATAGAGGCCAAGGCTGCCCTCCACATTTATCCGTTCCCTGATTTTGCTCCTTTTTGGGATCTGAAGTCTGTTTCTGAAGAAGAGTAAAGTGTTTTTTTGTTTGTTTGTTTTGCGACAATATTCTGGAATTTTCATTCCTGCTCGCTTCCAGAGCCTTCTTCTGCCAGAGTACCCCCTCAGCCTCTTATTTCTCCTCTGATAACTTCCCCATTTCTCGGTTGAATAGATGATCTGTGCAGGTGACAGGCTGTGGAGGGGTTAGTAACCTCTTCGGGTTCAAAATAGACCTTCTGACCTTAGTTAGCTTTCACAGCCTTTACATTGGGATAGTTTCTGAAAGGCTGTTGGCAAACTTAAAATGCGATAATTTCGTGGAAGCCTTAAAGGTGGCCCAGTAGCAAGAGCTCAGTTAAACGTCAATTAAAGGCTGCCTGGAACCGGAAGGACAGGGCTCTTTGGCTACCTACTCACCCCATTCCGTACCACCCCCACCCCCAAAAAGTGCAGATCCTGAATCCAGGTGGCTGTGCTGGGAGAGCCAGGCTCACAGAAACATCCACCACTTTTGGAGTCTTGGAAGGTTGAGGGAGGAGACCAGGGCCGGCTCAGCAATGCCCCCGGCGCCCAATGCAATCTGCCTCCACAGCCTGCGCCCTCGGCCGCCGCGGCTTTGTCCTGGCTCCTCGGGGAGACGACCCAGTCGAGTGCGACGGCGCGCGGACCCGGAGGCAGTGGGCCCCCGCTGAGCTCAGCACCACGATTTCCAAGCTTGGCATTCAGGAGGCCATGGTTCCCTAGCTAGGTTGTCAAGACAAGAGAGAAGGGAGACTTATTTCTGCGAATCCCCTTCTAGTCTCCGAATGACATCTTTGCAAAGGGCTTTCACATTTTGTGATTGTAGCTGTTACCTAGTACCCTAGGTAAAGTCCATAGTCCACCTTTACATAACCTTAACCACTTGAATCCCCAGTGCCTGCCCGTTTTAGGGTTGACAGTTTTCTTAATGGTTTCCCAGAGTACCAGATATGCCCCGGGTTGCTGGGATTCTTGGTTTAGGATAAAACTGCACTTTGCAATCAAGCTTGACTTTTAAAGGATTTTTATTTAAAGGACTAAGAAGAAAGGATAGGTTTAAAAGTGACTGAAGGACTAAGTCATTGTTTTTTTTTTAAGATATTTTCCCCAGAAGAGCCAAAAAATATAATGAGGAAAAAGCAGCTGTACTGAAGATTAGTAGAAACAAAACAGGGATACAAAAACTAGATTTAATTGTTTAAACGAAAACTAGGGATCCTTCCCAGACTGGCTTTCCAGAAAGGTTGGGATGTGGGGATCTAGACTCCACTCAATGACCAGACAAGAGCACCCTCACCAAATATAAGACTCTCGCTTGAAACAGGCATTGCAGATCTTGCTAGTTGCCTGAGACAGGCCCGCCATTATCCTAGGGAGTGATATTTTCGAATCTGACAGAGATCCAAGGAGGCCTAAAACGAATTTGGTGGGAGAGGAAGAGGACTGATTTAACCCCCTCCCTCACTACAGCCCAATCCCCTTGGTTGGTGGCTGCGCCTTGTCTTGGAGTCTTGGGCGCAGTGGGACGTGTCTCTCCCACGTTTCCCTTAATTAGGAGGAGGCAAACTTTTCTTGTTCCCTCCCACTGGCTTTGGTTTAGTAATCAAACCCACATGAGTCACGCCAAACACGCAGCCCCCTCCTACCCGAGTGACAACAGGACAGCATACTCCAGGCTGTTGTCCCTTTAAAATCCGAATCCAAAGGGGCAATGATTTATCAAACGCGTATTATCAGGGAGATGTCAAACGAAGGGCACCTTGCTTCCCACTGACGCAAACCCGGCCTTTCCCGGGAAGATATAGAAAGCGCCTCTTGTTCCTGGTCCAAACCTAGTCCAGCAGCGGGTATTACTCTACGGTTCAGTCTGTTGTCCGCATCAGACATGGTAAGTGCTTGCTTTTATTCTCTTAACAGGAAAGGTAGATGTGGGGGTCAGGAGGACGGGTTCGTTTGGGCTATTTATTTTTGGAAATATCTGTGCAATAGGAGAGAGGCAGAGAACCATTTTGAAGGCTTAAGTCCAGGTATTCTATTCACACTTGGGAGCTTTGCCTGAGGGCAGAGACAGTTTTCGCTAGTTGTACAAGTCAACCTCTCCAGAACCCGATCCCAGGCACTGTCCCTGGTGCTGAAAGTCAGGATTAGCGCACCCGCAAGTGGCTCTGGGTCTTAGCTGTTGAGAATGCCGGCTGTAGTCCAGGTATTGTGTTTGCTATGCTTAAACTCAGTCTGTGCGTTTGTGAAGCGGGTTAGCCGGGAGGCTTTCGGTTGAGGAGAAGGTAACTTGAATAGTTTTACACTGAACGAATTTAGCATGGAACTCTGGAAGGTAACACTAGCATGAAGAAGCCACAGGGAAACCCACTGCTGGCAAGTCTTTAGGTTCAAATTCAATGGGGAGAAAGCTAATGAAAATTATTGGCGAGTTTTGGTCCTCAATCAAGTCCAGGGAAAAGAAGGATATTATATTCCAGGGAATGAATAGCAAAATAAAAATACTTGGCAAGATCTGTATACAATTCTAGGGGTGTGAAATCAAGTGTAGAGTGTGTAAGGCTAAAAGCCAGTTACTACTTTGTGTGTTCTATCTGGTTTATTGCTTCAGTTATTATTCTATCTGGTGGTCTGTTTATCGTTTGTAATGTTTTGATAAAAACCCTTTATCCTTGACTTTGCTACCTAGGTGACCAAGGTAGGTTTGGAGTACTGGCGTTTGAATTTACCCATGTGGTTTCCAGTCCTGGTCTAGGCCAGAGCATCGGTTTTGTGATCACAGCTTGTCTATGAGAAAAGGGGGGGGGAGGCAATGTGCATTGTTGAATGACAAAGGAAATGGGGCGGAAAATTAAAGAATCTTTTCACAATGGCGAAGGGGATGTGGTACCCATAGCCTTGATTTGAAATCCACAGAGGGCAGGGAGCTCCTGTCTGTAGGGTTATTTCTACACTGCCCGCCTCTTTTCCCCTTCCAAAACCACTCGTGCTTTTTTCTTAATTCATCCTCCAAGGCGGGGTGGATATTAGCATCTTCATGTCCCAGGGTTACAAACAGCACTGGCCTGGCGAGTTGAGAAACACCGATTCCGTTTGCTCCCCTGTGTATTTTGTGTCTGGACCTGGAATGCGAGCATCTGTGTATGCAGGTGCATATATTTTATTTTTGGTGCTGCCGTGACCTTTTTTGTTTTGCACGAACTTGACGTTGTGTTTGCAGGATTGCAGTGCTCCCGAGGAAATGAATAAGCAACCAGCCAACAGCCTAGAGGCAGCAGTGCGGGGCCACCGGGATAGCCCACGTGCACCCAGGACCAGCCCTGAGCAGGACCTGCCAGCGGCCGCCGCGGCGCC